AAAGATTAAAAGAAAAAGAAAGGCCAAGCATTATGCTGCATACCTATAATCTCAGTACTCTGGGAGGCTGGGACAGGAGGCTGTAAATTAAAGGCCAGCTAGGGAATTTAGCAATCTAGAGAGACCCTGCGCCTAAAAAAAAAAAAAAAAAAAAAAAGGTTGAATGATGTAGCTAAGTGCAAAGTCCCTGGGTTTAAAACCCAGTAATGGGAGAAAAAAAACTTGACATCATTAGCTATCAGGGAAATGAAAATTCAAACCAAGATGAGATAACATGTATGTCACACCCACTAGTGTGACTGTAATCAAAGACAGATAGCAAAAATGTTAATGAGGATGTGAAAAAATTGAAACCCTTGTGCATTGCTGGTGAGGATGTAGGACGTTCCCTGGAAAGCAGTTTGGCAGTTCCTTAGATGCTATACATGGGGATGTTATATAACCAATAATTCCACTCCTAGATTAATGCCCAAGAGAACTGAAAATTACATTAAAAAATTTTAATAAGAAGAAAACATATGGGGCTGGGGATTTAGCTCAGCGGCAAAGCGCTTGCCTGGCAAGCGCAAGGTCGTGAGTTCGGTTCCCGGTACCGGAAAAAAACCAAAAACCAAAACAAAACAACAACAAAAAAAAAGAAAACGTATGTCCACATACAAGTTTGCAAATGGTCATAGGAGCAATCATTTACAATCTCCAAAAAGCAAGAACAACCCAAATGTCTGACAATAGCAGATAGACAAGCTGTGGCCTACCCAATAAGACAATGGAATACTAGTGAGTCACAGACAGGAGTGAAGTACTGACACTACAACACGGATGCACTTTGAAAATAGTAAAAAGTTGAAGCAGCCAGACACAAAAGGCCACATGTTGTATGGTGTCATTTACATATGATGTCCTCAATGAGTGAACACAGAGACAGAAAGGCTGCTGGGACTGGGGATCTAGGGGTGGGAGGTGACAGCTAAAGGGCATGGGGTTTTTGGGGGGTAGGAGTCTGATAAAAATATTCTAGACTTTGCCTGGAATCCCAACACTTGGGAGGCTGAAACAAGAGGATTGCT